ATGAAGCCGCTGACGTCACTTCTTCTTTTTCTTCTGCTTTGGGTTTACTTTACTGGCAGGCCGCAAACCACTTCACGGCGTATACTGCCGCCCAAAGTCCCCGGCCGGAAGTCCCCGGAGTTGGGGACTGGCTTCAGAGTAAATCGCCAGAACGCCGACACCTCCTCATCTCCACCGCTCCCATGTTTTATTTTGTGTTGCCATAAGTTAGTCTCTCTGCGTTTCTGCGCTGGGCTAATGCTAATGCTAATAATGCTAATGCGAGGATAATAAAATGGCGGCTTCACAAAACTTTTTGGGAGTTTTACGGCGCGTGGTTTGCAATCCGCCCAGCCAATCAGAAATAGGAACCTTTTTCTCCCACGAAAGTCCCTGCTCTCTAGCAGGGACGGAAAAGGGGGTGAAAAGGTTCTCATTAGCCGCTTTCACACCGCAGGACTTGCCGTACTTTAGTGCCGGCACTAAAGTACCACGGGACGGAATCCGCCAGGGGGCTAGTGCCAATCGCATTCACACCGCAGTACTTTCCCTGAGGCAAGATTACGCTGACGTCACTTCGTCTTCTTCTTCTCTGGGTTTACGGCAGGCCGCAAAACCACTTCACGGCGAGTACCAAAAAAAACCGATTTGTTTACTTTCCGACCTCAGACATGATGGAGTTCATAAGGGTAATAAGGGTCATTTACAAATAAAATACCCCATTATAACAATGGACTTTATCTTTATGTATTTATTATATATTACCCCCTCAGGCTGATTTTGGAAAAGGACATTAACCCTTGTTTGGTGTTTTTCCCCTTATTTATCTAAAACAAATGACATGATAAATTACTTGTGTTTATGTGTGTAAGACTTGTGTTTCTGCCCCTGCCATTGCTGCACAAGGTTGCAACATTGTAGATAAATTCAACCACCGACACCTGTCTGCTCTCACATTCTTCTATTCTTCAAATTTGGGGTGGGTATTTATATATACAGTCTATGGGTGGGACACAATAAATAAAGCTTCGCCAGTTTGTTTGTTTTATTGCACAGTCAAGACATAACAATAACGGCATCACGCTGTTCCAGCTGTGTCGTATGCATGTAAATTGAAGTTAAATAAAAGTGTGAAATGTAAAATAAAGTGTAAGTAGTTTCAAAACAATGTAACAGTGGCAATATAGCAGCAGACACACCTTAGTGCAAGTAAGGTGTCAGTATTAAAAAACAGTGGCAATATATATATATATATATATATATATATATATATATATATATATAATAACAATAGAAAATCGTTACCACTCTTATTATTGTGGTCTTTAATTTTTGTATAGTCCTGCCTGAGTTTCTTTATTTTTACCCGGCATCCGTGTGCACTGTGCACGATTCCCAGCTCAATACAAGTAGCTTTTGCGAACATCGCTCAAAACCTTTGGAGTTGGGAACTGCTTTCTGTAGAAGCTGCTGCATCCCGTCCTCGGAGTAAATTGCCAGAAGCGCCGACACTTCCTCATCATTCCACCGCTCCGGTGTTGTAGTAGGCCTACGTGTGGTCATAACTGCTTTAAAGTACAAAAAAACGACTCGCTCAGGTGTGGATGTGGTTTTGTAGCGAGGAAAAAAATGGCTGCCTAACAAAAAAAATTCAGAGTCTAACGGGGCGTGGTTTGCAATTCGCCCAGCCAATAGAAATAGAATAGAAATTGGCACTCTTTTATCACCAGATTCGTACCACCTCTCTAGCAGGGACTGAAAATGGCCAAAAGAGTTCCCGGCACTGAGTAGTCCCGGCGGTGTGAACGCAACATTATTGGTACTAACGGAACTAAAGAACCAAAGTACCAGGGAAAGTCCTGCGGTGTGAATGCGGCTATTGTCATGAACTAATTTTAGTACCGGCTCTTTTTGGTGTGAACGCGACAAAAGAGTTCTCATGAACTAAGTTCTCATGAACCTTTGTGGGATAAGTAGGCCTACTTCGGTGTGAATGCGCCTATAGGCTCGCGTCTTGTGCTGCATTCACTTGCACTCGGACATTAGGAATTTTCTCTCATAAATGTCCAATGAGCAACAACTTTATTTCAAAACCAAGCTGACGTTTTCTGCCAGACGCTGTCTCCTCTTTCACTTTAGGTAACTTCATTAAAAATCGATCCATGTTGCCGCTCGGATAAAGTTAGCTGAAGTTAACAAGCTAGATTTCACTGTTTCTCGTTATTTTCTTCTCACGCTGCGCCTCCTCTGAAGCTCTCTGGCGCCCCCTAGGGGAGGTGCGCCTCACACTTTGAAAACCGCTGCTCTAACCTATCATAATGAAGTCAGTATGAAAATCCCTACTTCCTGCCAATGGTTATTAAAGAAAGAAAATGTCGGACAACCATGAGACCAACACAGCACAATCTACTCCACATAGAGAGGAGCAATGAGGTAAATAGATATCTACAGAGTCAGGGAACACATAATGCACTGTACATGCACACACAAACACACACACACACACACACACACACACACACACACACACACACACACACACACACACACACACACACACACACACACACACACTCACTCGCCTTGTTTTTGCCCCAACTCAAATGTAAGATTACATTTGAATAGGAATAAATGTATCTTTAATCTGTGCAGTTGTGATGATTTGTTCTTATTATATCATAGTTGTCCCTCTCTTCATATTTCCCTTATTCACTTTTAATTTCTGCTACATTTGCTATGTTGTTTAAACAAGTTGTAGTCAAGAGTTTGTGATTCATGTGATGTGTGAAGGCAATATTGCTGGTGGATCACTGGCTACGTGGATTGGATTTAATGTTTGCAGTCCCAGTTTTAGAATCAAAGTGTTGGAGATAATGTCAAAAATAATTCAGATTTGAATTCAGCCCATTTTTTTCAAGGCATAACACTTTTTGTTAATGTCTAACTTTTCCTTCTTCTTTATGTACAACATTAATATATATATATATTTGACTTCATTAATCTCAAGCACCACAAGCTGCCTCTGTGTATGAAATATACAATGTTAATAAACTTGCCTTGTCTTGTAGAGTGTAAGTAAAATGTACACTGAAACAAGTTAATAATGGCTTTCACTCCATCATGCACACGCTGATGTTTATGGAATAACATTGCCACTGGCTTCCTATTTGTACATAAACGCACCATCACACTGGACGCGCTGCACACACTAACGTTTATATCCCAAACAAAGAGGAGGAGCAGCCGCTTCATATTCAGGTAAATTAGAAAGTACACATTTTTGACCGGCCAGTGTCTTGGAACCTTCACACGCACTCCTCTGCTCCTGAACCGTCAGCTCAGGTAAGCCAAGGAATGATGGAGCAAGGCAGCATGGGAGTCAGGGTTAGGGGTCAAGGTCACCTTTTGACATAAAAGTATATATTAAGGGGTTCTCAAGTAATTATCAATTATGTTCAATGTTTTATTTTAGTGTGAGAACAGAGTGTTTTGAACAAGCAAAGATAGTACCAGGAATTTCAGTAGTTTACTGATATGAATTTTTGCTTTAGAGATTTGGATAGGATATATTACACATTTTGTAGCGAACATGCTTGAGATTAACATGAATTGTTTATTGCTAATTGTAAATTGACTGCTGCGTGTCATATATGACTGTGTATAAAATGCCCTACAATGATGTATGGGTGGATTTCTGCAGCCTTTTTGCCATCTTTAAAGAAACAACAATTGTTTTCAAATAGAATTATGATGTTTGAAAAGCCCAGCACTGCAGTGACTCTGTTCACAAAATAGTAATGAATGCAGGGGATGTTGGCTGAACATCAATAAGAAGGGAAGGAAAAACCTTTTAAAATAACTTTAAACCAAGGCAGATAGTTTGTTACGTCGGTTGCGGCTGTGTCTTCTGAAAGTTGGACGCATTTTAAAACATGGGATCTTGAAGACAGAGGTCTGTGCATAGTTTGACCTTGGCTAATGTCATGCTAAACTGATAGCGGCAATAACATTAATAGATGGAGGCCTAAGGACATGATAAGGAGTTTTGTGTATTGACTTCATTTTCATTTCCTGAAAATCTGGTGCAAACTTTATATATCTGCAAGAACAACATGCAAGCGTGTAAAAAGCATGAAGCATGTTTTATCTGTTGCTGAGTTCACTGTGATATAACAAACCAGGATGTTTAAAAACACATCATTTATTCAGAGAGAAAGAAAATAAGCAAACAGAGAGGAAAAGCACTGATTTCCAAAATGCGGTGAATCCAACCTCATGGGTGTCCAAGATCAGTCAAGGTTATAGTAAGGTCAATGAAAAGTCCTGTTGCACTTACAATTCAATTATTTAAATAAGATGTCTGAACAACTTTTCTGAATAAGGAACTGACATAAAAAGGATTATACAGTAGCTCAACCTAATTCTATCTAAGTATGTTTTTAATAAATAAAAACCCCCAAAAGAACAGAATGTTAATCTTTATGATTTGTTTAATATATCTGTCTATCAACTCTATAAAGTCAGTTATAGCTGCTCATATGAGGTTGAAAAGTGAGAGACAGAAAAACCACAGGTTCAAATCTCCTCTGTAAAGCACATGACAGTGTTTGGCCTGATTGGATTAGCTTTTTCTGGAGTTTGATGGAAAATTGTCAGGAAACCTGCTGGGTTTCACCACAAGACAAAAAATGATCCTCTGTTTACTCTCAAAACACCCAGAATGCATCCCTGCTGACGAGACACTGACCTCTCACACAACAAGGACATTCTCTTCCCGGGGAGAGGGGGAAGTGTGTGTGTGTGTGTGTGTGTGTGTGTGTGTGTGTGTGTGTGTGTGTGTGTGTGTGTGTGTGTGTGTGTGTGTGTGTGTGTGTGTGTGTGTGTGTGTGTGTGTGTGTGTGTGTGTTAGTCTGTGTGAGAAACAAAGGGAAAGTGTCGGGGAATTTGTTTCTTTTATTGTCTCTCACGATCATGTCCTTTTTTCTTCTCCATGTCTTTATCTTTTTCTATCTGACTCTTAGTTGTGTTAAAGATGGGACACCTCACTATTGTGGCTGTTATAGCAGGTAAATACAATGCCAAAGTCTATGTTTCTATTCAAGGAAAAATATAAGCATTGAAAAGTTGGCTTGTTTGAAAAGCTTACCAATGTAGTAACACCATTTATTTCTGAAAAACTCTGGAGCAAGGCAGGGGAACTCGCCATCGTCCAAATTAACATTTCTTTTGTCCGATTCTCTTTCAGTTCTCTTCACGCTGTTTGTGGAAATCGAAGCAAGTAAGGACCAAACTCCACTTTCACCTGAGACTGGTTTGTTGAGAAACTGGTGTTGGGAATAAATAAAAGACACATTCACTTGTATCGCCATAACAATGGCCACATTCAAAGCAAGCGAACTGTTACCATACCAAAATGGATGCTTAAAAACAACAACATTTAACCCTGACACATAGGCCTATGAGTTGTTGCTGCCAACTGTTGCTCACTGGAATGAGGGGTGAAAATCTTGTACATCTTTTGAAGCGAGTTGAAGTATGTCCTGTCACTAATGTTCCTTTCACTTTTCTTGTTTCTCCTCCTCCTTGTGTGTTTGGTCTGCAGATCCATTTGCTTACAGTAAGTACCGACATTCTTATCTCCTGCTTCTTATAATCTGCCCAATATAACCTAGACTAGTGCAGAGTATCACTTACATGATGCATACAAAACATTCTTTGGAATTGAATTCTTACCCTGTCTAACAATATTGTTTAACAGACTATCAAAGGCTACGAATTGGAGGGCTAGTCTGTGCCAGCTTGTTGTTTGTTGGAGGACTCATGGTTTTATTTTGTAAGTAACTGACACCTCACAGATAAATAAGTCTACATGTTAAACCTATCAAAGCAAAGCTATTCCAACATGAGAATCAGAGAAGTAGTAAAAGTATCGACTGTGTGTTGTGAGTGTAACCTCAGTAACACGTCCTACTTTGCCTTCACAGATACCAGGTGCACCAGGAAGAACAAGTACGTTTTTTTTTCTAAATCTCTTTCTGAACTTTAACATGTGACTTGCCCCCTCTCTCATTGTCTCCCTCCCCCCCTCTCTTTTTTTCTTTCTTCCAAAACCGCCATGCTAACTGCCACTCCTGCCATCCTCTCTTACCTTGTAGAAAAGTGGAAGATGACAACAGTGAAATCTGATCGGGGGTATGACTGATAAACCGGTTCCGGCCAGGAAGAAGAGCTGAAAGGCAAGGAGCGGAGAGATGTGGCTGCATGGTGGGGGGTGTTTTTGTAAGAAAACACACAGGTTCATATGATTACACCTGTACAGACCTGTGCAATACTGTTTAAGCCAGATGTAAAAACAGTCTGTAAATGTCCCTGTCATGAGTATGATGAAATAAATGTGTTCTTGTTTTTCAAATGTATCCACTTTGCCCAAATCTGATATGTAAACTGATATGTGTGTCCCCTAAAAGCCCATAGACCTTCACAATTAACACATTCTGCTTAGTTTGGTCAATACCATAATGATGCACACGGATATGCTGCATTATTATAAACATAAGGTGGTGTTTAGTCAATTTGGCCTGCTGTTGTTTGCATGTCTTGCTGTATAATAAAATAGTTGGATAAATCATGTTGTAAACCATTGTAACCTTGACAACATTTGAAAAAGATTTAAGAAACATTTGGCTTGCATATCAAAATTGAAAATAAATTACTCCATGCTATACCAAATTGTAGTATGTCAGTGATTTTTTTAAGGGTAGCTATGTAGCCTAGCTTGTTTTACTCTTTGACCTTTAGTGACCTTAACTTCAGTTATTATGACTTCCCATTGAGTTACTATAACTGTTGTATGTATTATTACATTAGATTACCATATTATTACTATCACTTGTCTTTGCTACAAATGTGTTGTTGTTCTGTTAGGCCTCTCAATATGTATAGCCCAAATATCCCAGTGAAGTAAATCAGCATAACTCGACAAACTTCGGCGTCCTCGTTCTCGACAAGCAAACATTAAAGGTTCCTCCTTCTCCCGGCGCTCGGTCTGACTGATTCTGGGTCAGCCTCCACGCCCCGCTCCTCATTAGCTTTCTGCTCTCCTGCTGCCAGCCAAAAAACTGAAACCGACCCAGGACCAGGACTCACGGACGAAGCTCTAGCGTTTCAAACTCAGCCCCCTTTTCTAAACCCCAGCCAACCTGTAGAGTGTCACCGTGCTACGGAAGGCAGGGTGTTGGCGTGCTGTGTGGAGGAAAGTCGCTGTTTCTCACATATCCGCCTTCTTGAGAGAAAATTCCTCGTTTTATCCGCTGCTAAACTCAACTCGTGGGAGGTAAGTGTTGAACAAAGAAATGTGTTAATGTTTGCCAGAAGTTCCTTTATTTAAGAAAAAACATGAAATACTTTACAATAATCCAGATAGGCTAGTGCGCAAGCATCTTTTAGGGCAAAATAAGCAGTGTAGCTAATGTTAGGCTAAGTTTTATGAAACATTTTATGTAACTTCACATGTTTTTCTGCGGTAAAAAACTTAAATTGCTTTATTTTGTTATTTACAGTTCTTTTGAGTTACTTAAAAGGGTCCAAACTACATATATAACGCGCTTTTCCAGACTAAAGTCTATTTTTGTATGGAAAGTTCTTAAATTGGCTATGTCATAACTCGTCCTAAGCTTATGATGTTATTCGGCTGACATTTTTAGTCAATGTAGGACAATGGAACGATACGCGCCCATGGAGCAATGTGCGTATCACGGCCAGCGTCCAGTTCACGCGCTATGATGCCATCGTTCATGTAAACGATTTCGAAAGTTTTGAAGTATATATGATGCCATTTGTGTACTGTGTCTTTTTTACTTTTAGTGCTTGTTTAAACCCATCAGATAAGAGAAAACTGCCTAAGTAAATCCGGTCGTAACGTTTTTATATTTGATGCTTAGCCTTATCCTCTTATACCATTTTCAAAATTAGCATTAGGCTGCTAACAGTATATATCAGAGTGGACCTGTAACACACTGTGCATTATTTATTGAACACATACTGGAGTGAGGGTGTGTGTGTGTGTGTGTGTGTGTGTGTGTGTGTGTGTGTGTGTGTGTGTGTGTGTGTGTGTGTGTGTGTGTGTGTGTGTGTGTGTGTGTGTGTGTGTGTGTGTGTGTGTGTGTGTGTGTGTGTGTGTGTGTGTGTGTGTGTGTGTGTGTGTGTGTGTGTGTGTGTGTGTGTGTGTGTGTGTGTGTGTGTGTGTGTGTGTGTGTGTGTGTGTGTGTGTGTGTGTGTGCAGTGGTGATAAGAGCAGTGGTGATAAGAGCAGTGGTGATAACAGTTTGCTACTATGTGGCCCAAGGACACATTGGGACATGAACAGTGAGGAATATCTGTGTTGTATAATCAAAAATACTTTTGTTGTTTTAAGTCAAAAGCCTCCACATATATATTGGTAGGAAACAAGCATATTCACACATTTTAGGAGCTGTAACCTTCAAACAGTAAGCGTATTCGTTTGAAGATATGATGAGTTAAGTGGTTACCATCTTGTTGTCATCAATGCATTTTATAAGCGCTGTTATGGGGCAGTCTCTTCATTTTGTTTATAGGGGATGTGGGTGTGGGACAAAATGCCTCAAGCAATTGTCTGAATATAAAGGGGTAGATATGTTTACGTCTGCCGTAGGGTTGTTTTGTTTTACATAATCCATGTTGGATTTTTTACCCATGTTTACAGATACAGATTGTGTTGTTGTGGTTCAACAAGAAACCATATATATCAGTTCTAGTGTCCATTGACCACAATATGTTAATTTTTACAGTAAACATTGGCCCTTAATAAATCAATTGTGCAAGAGACACAAAATGACAATAGGGAAGAATGCAGGGTTTTTTGCATTGGAGGTTGCCATGACGTCCTGCGAATGTAACATACTCTTTGCAAGAGATCTATACTGTCCTGCAACAAATAACTGAAGAACACTAATAACTAAGGTAGAACTGAACAGAAAGTGGTGGCAACAATGTACAGAAACCCAAAGTACATTAACATTCCTAATCACATTCTATATCATGAATGATATTTAGCAGTGCAAGAGAAGATCCATATAAGTTTCCTTTGCTCCATGCATTATACATTATGTGTTAATATTTTATTAAATAGTAAGTCACTTATGTGCACAAATGCCCCCATGTGGATAACTAACATTTACAGCAAAACAAATCAATATTTTCCATGCAATCCATTAATATGCTTGCATAGTAAAGAAAACAAGACTCAATGTTAGTTACAAAAGTATTTGTGGATAGGTTAGTGACACACTGTGAGAATTGTTTCCCTGCCATGTGATCTGTATCTGTATAGCAAACTTTAGGGATCATTTCAAACAAATGAGGACGGACTTTTTGACGGACTTGAATGCACCGTAGTCTCCTTTGATATTAATACAGTTTTTCAGCCTAAGAGAAGTGAAGCAGCGAGAGTTACAGGGTGAGAGACAGAGATAGAGAGAGGGTGACAGACTTTCTTTCTCAGGTGAAACAAACTTAGCTCACCGTGCTCACCTCTCCTCACATGACAACAATTCCTAAAAAAGACATGAGGAATGTGAACAGTTGGAGGAGAAAAGGTGAGAGCGTTCTCAGGCGAGACACTCTCCCTCCTCACCTTTCCTCACAACACTTTGGTGTCTCGCGAACACAGATTTAGAAACCTCAACAAGAAGACATTGATTTAACTGTGACCTTCCTGTGTAACCACAGCACTTTCTTCTACAGCTCAGTAACACAGCTAATCGTTTCCAATTGGTTAACCATAGAGTATTATAATACAACTACATCATACAATGACCTAAATATAACGCTTTCATACATTGAAAACAAACCTGCAAGTTTCTCAATTTAGAATTGGTTTGTGTTTACTCTTCAATATGTGCTATATTAATATGATATGTATGTAAAATGAGAGGAAGTGTACTCCATCTTTGAATCCGCTGTATGACTGCAGTCTGTTGTTGCTATCCGCTCACTGGGAACCTTGTGGTTACCATGTGTGACTCATGGCTCCAGTATGATCCCCTCCCTCTTACCTTCTATTTGTCTGTTCCTGCTCCTCCTCTTCCTCTTCCCCAACTGCACTTTCCCTCGTCCTGCTGCCTCCCTCTCCCATTCCCCCGGGCTTTGATCCCTCTTCCTCCTTGTCTCCCTCTCTTGCTCACTCTCTTTTACCAACTTCATTTTTTGTTTGTGTTATTACTCTCTCTCTCTCTCTCTCTCTCTCTCTCTCTCTCTCTCTCTCTCTCTCTCTCTCTCTCTCTCTCTCTCTCTCTCTCTCTCTCTCTCTCTCTCTCTCTCTCTCTCCATCAGTAAACTGCTTCCACTGAATCCCCAACACCATCTGTCCCTTCCTTTCTATCTCTCTTGCATACTTTCCTATTACATATTATAACTATAATGACACCAGTAGAGTGCAGACCTTTGCTGGTGCATTCAATTGCATCTCGGATGTTCCCATTTCCCAAGTGAGGAAGTCGTTCTTCACCATGAGCTTTATGAGCTTTAAATATGGAATAATGATGGTGGAAAGCTTTGTATTTCCAGATTATTTTGACAGCACATTAATGCAGCAGAAATGCCCTTATGCCCAATGTTAACTCAAGCAAAAACAAAATTGCTTACCAACTGGCCAGTTGTAACCCGTCCAAAATGTTAAGGCTTTTTCCTTGCCGCGTGCTACACCTTTTGGTCATGTTTACTCAAAATCAGGCCAGTAGTAGATTAACTGACAAAACAAACAAATTCCAAACGACTAAACCTCTAAAAATATCTGTAATCAGCTAGAAGAGAGAAAACATACGTTTAAATACGAAAAGTAACATTTTATTCATTTAAAAAAAAACAAAAAAAACCTCGGAAGTCATTGGCTTTATCAACCATATTTCCAGACATTCAATTACAGAGAAACATTATTAACTTAAGTCCAAAGTAGATTCATTGTATAGTGTATTGGTAAAGTGGAGTGAAGTTGAAATCAAACTGTCTAAATAAAAGCTGGTTCTTTCTCACAGATGGCAAAGTAGGTTCACATTGTGTTTAGTTCACAACATGTGCGTGTGTGATGCACTCTGGAATTTAGTGCTGCTAATTTAGGAATAAAAAATACCACTGAGAATAGGCAGCTGTCTTTGTAGTGCAGCACAGGAACACACACACCAGTGTTCAGCATTCAAATTGTTGGGTGGGGGGAGTTTTGGAAAAAGAGGACAAAGTAACGCATAGATGCTATGCATACACCATTTCGTACTTTTGATTACAGAATAGAAAAAGGAATATATGTTTGTAAAAAGGGTTAATCTTTTGTAGACATGACGAATAGTGTATGTTCACGTGTTACATAGTCCTAATACATTTGCCCTGCTGTGACCCTGATTAGGATAAGCCGTTTTAAGAATGGATGCTGTAGTAGAACGCTTCACTACATATTTATTTTGATATGACTATAAATGTTAGTTAACCAAAGACGTGACTGTGTGTGTGTGTGTTTGTGTGTATGTTTCTATGTGTGTTGTCACATAACTAAGTCACAAGGAGTGAACACAAAGCCAACTGGCAGCCTTTCTCTGTGTGTGTGCTCTGGGTCCCTTTGTGTGTGTTTTTGTTGCTTTTGTGTTGGACTTTTTTTTGTCAAACCTACATATTTCATTGTAGTGAGCACTCTCAATTGTGTTGCCCTGCTGCTAGACTTAAGAATAGGACATTAGGACTAGGGGTTCTTCCGGTTTGTATCCCGGTAGGTGAAGAGGGTCTGGTCATACAAAACCGGGTGATTTGCTACGGCGATAATTAGTTTCTCCTCCATCTTTTTTTGAAATATAGAAATGAACGGCGGGATATCTCTCCCAGCTTAGACCCGGTTTGATTGGCTACGGCTTGAGCTGTCAGATTTTCAGAAACGGGATTTGATTGGCTGGCGCTGGCTACTCCGGCGTCAGAAGTTGAACATTGTTCAACTTCTGACGCCGGAGACGGACCGCTATGCTACCAACAATTCAGTTCGGCGAAAAGCGAGGCAACGTGACGTCACCCCATTCAAAGTGAATGGGCAGACGCGTTGGAAACCGTTTTTGAAGCTGTCGAAGCTGTAGTGTGGACGGGCCGTAACTGTGATGGGGGGGGGGGAGGGGCTGCGAGTGGAGCCTCGCAGTTTTTCAGGTTGATATGTGAAGCTCATTAGCTAGCCAACATGTATCTAGCAAATGTTTAGCAAAATATTAGAAGTGAGGCTACTAGACTAACGTTAGGTCTACTGTAATAGCCTCACTTTTAATATTTTGCAAAACATTAGCTAGC